ATTCCAGAAGACAAAAGACGGGTTAAAGGAGTAATATCAAGAGTATCTCCTGATGTTCAAGGTGAAACAATTAAGAAAAATGTAACTGGAGCGACAGTGTTCGACGTGAAATGATTGAAGTGTACTAGAAACAATGAAAAAATTGACAGTCTCTCAGTCATGATTCACTTTGATGAAAATAAGCTCCTAGCAGAGTCTTCTTAGGATTTGTAAGTTACATGTTCAGGCCATATATTCCTCCTCCTCTGAGATGTTATAAGTGCCAAAGGTACGGGCATGTGGCGGCAGTTTGCAGGGGTAAACAGAGATGCGCAAGATGTGGGGGTGAACATGAATATGGTCAATGTGGGCAAGAAATGAGTCCCAGATGCTGTAATTGCGGAGGAGAGCACAGTGCGGGATACGGAGGATGTAAGCTGAGGAAGCAGACGATCAGAGCTAGTTCAGACGGTCAGAGTCGAGGAAGGGATATCGTATTCTGAAGCGCTAAAGAAAGTTGGAGAGAAGAATGAAGAAGGGAGTAGTAGGGTATCAGGAAAAGGCATATGATATGTTGTGGAAGGAGGGTTTTTTATTGAAATTGGATTGTATGGGAATTAAAGGTAAAATGTATAACTGGATCTTGAACTTTTTGTTTGGAAGAACAATACAAGTGAGAGTGGGTTCTGCATACTCTCGGGTTCTTCCAATAGAGAACGGAACTCCTCAAGGTACTGCAAGTAGTCCTATTATTTTTAACTTAATGATAAATTACATTTTTTCTAATATTGACGTTGGTGTGAGCAGGTCATTGTATGCAGATGATGGAGCGTTATGGTTTAGGGGGCGAAATGTTTTGTATGTGGAAAAGAAAATGCAAAAAGCTGTAAAGGAGGTTGAGGATTGGGCAAGGAAATGGGGTTTCAGATTTTCTGTGGCAAAAACGCAGGTAATATGTTTTTAGAATAAGAAAATTAATCCTTCTCTGAATATAAAAATGTATGGGCAACAGCTAGAACAAGTTAATGTAGTCAGATTTCTAGGAATGTGGATGGACTCAAAATTGAACTTCAGAATACATATTCAGAAGCTGATAGAAAAATGTAAGAAAGGGATAAACATATTAAGATGCTTATCTGGAGTTGAATGGGGGGCTAGGCGTCAATCAATGGAAAGAATATATAAAGCAGTAATAAGAGCCAACATTGATTATGGTTGTATGGTGTATATTTCTGCAAATAAAACTTGGATTAAAAAGATTGAGAAGATACAAACGCAGGCAATGCGAATTTGTTGCGGAGCATTCAGGTCATCTCCTGTGGTATCATTACAGGTTGAGATGGGAGAACTGCCTCTAGAGTTACACAGACTCCAGCTGATGATGACATACTGGACTAGCATTAAGGGTCACTCGGAAAGTCACCCAGTCAAGAATATTTTAAGAGAATGTTGGGAGTATGAATGTAAAGAATTTGTAAGTTTTGGCTGGATTGTTGGGAAGGAAGCACAGAGAATGGGTCTTGATGAGATTGATATTGCACCATCAGTGGCGACTCCGGCGATACCTCCCTGGTTGTTTCCAATGCCATTTGTTGATTTAAACATTCATAAAGAGATAAAAAGCATCAACATGAACATCCCAATAGTTTCAGCTGTGCAACAATATATAAATCAAACATATTATTCAGTATTGCAGATATACACAGATGGATCTAAAGACCCAGGGACTGGAAGAACAGCAGCTGCAATATATATACCTAAATTCAATATCAAAGTTGCTAGAAGAGTTTCTGATCATGTATCTGTATACAGTATACTTCTGAATTAGCTATATGTCTTACACTGCAGTGGGCTGAAGAGGTCCAGCCTAATACAGTTGTGGTTTGTACAGATTCAATGGCGGCTCTGACAAGTTTACGGAGTGGAAAATCAGAAGCACGACAGGACATATTATATGAAATTCTACAGAGTATTTATAGGATAAGGCAGTTAAGGTTATTGGTTTATTTTCTTTGGGTGCCGGCTCATGTTGGAGTAGAGGGGAACGAGAGAGTTGATCAGCTTGCAAAGAAGACCCTGGAACAACCACAAGTTGAATTCCAAATTACAATAAGTAAAACTGAAATAAAGAGATTGATATATATAGAAGTTGAAAAGAAATGGCAAAAAAGTTGGGAAAATGAAAGAAAAGGGAGGCATTTATTTAAGATGCAGGAGCGTGTTGCTAAAAAGAGAGTAAGTTGTGGAAATAGAAGGAAGGAGGTTATCTTATCTAGATTGAGAATAGGACATGTAGCATTAAATAACAGTTTGCACATAATAAGGAAACATGAAACAGGCAATTGTGATAAATGTGGACTACCAGAAACGGTTGAGCATGTTCTTTTAATATGTATAGCGTATGAAAGGGAAAGACATCAGATGCTCCAAGAACTGGAATTGATGGGAATGAATAGTATATCTCTAAAGACACTATTAGGTTATGGGGTAATGCAATCAAGAATATATGGAGAATTGTTTAAGTATTTAAAAAAGACAAGATTAATGGAAAGAGTTTGAAGTTTGGAATTTTGTATTTATTTACGTTAAAAAAAATTGGTTTATTTTTTTATCTTATTTTATTATTATTATAATATATATATTTTTTTAAATTTATGAAAACAAACAAAATAAACCAATAGAATATCAGGAAAATTTGAATGACAATGCAAGGTATGCAGTACCACAGAGTTCAGACATAAGGAAATATAAGCCAGGAAGGCCAGCACCTCCACTGCAGCCATGCAATCATACGTGTAAAGTTGAGAACACCTTGATTGTGGAAAAGAAAAGTTTTATAGCTTTTATGTGCAAAGTTGTTAATGTTGTGACACGACAAGAAAGAAAAAGCGATATAATCAAGACAGTTGTGGAAGCTGCAGAGGAGTTTCTAGGCATTAACTGTTGTGAAAGTAAGTAATGAGATAGAGAAAACATTTAAAATGAAACAATTAATGAATATTGTATTCTTTGATATTGAAAAGGCTTACGACTCTATGTGGAGGGAAGGGTTATTAATTAAACTAAATAAGATTGGAGTAAGAGGTAGGTTCTATAATTGGGTTTTAGATTTTTTATCGGAAAGAAGATTTAGAGTTAAAGTGGGATCAGAAGTGTCTGAGGAATTTGAAATTGTTAATGGAATTCCACAAGGAAGCGTTATAAGTCCAGTGTTATTTAATGTAATGATTAATGATATTTTTATGAATTTGGATAGAAGAGTTGGTTCAGCTTTGTATGCAGATGATGGGGCCATTTGGGTAAGAGGACGAGATCCCATAGGTGTGATAAGTAAAATCAAGGAAGCAATAGGAAAAGTAGAACAATGGTCATATAATTGGGGCTTTAAGCTTTCTCCAAGTAAATCTTGTCACATGTTATTTACCAGGAAGAAAGGGATAGACAAACAGAACTTAAAGTTATATGGTAACAATATGGAAACAGTAGACTGTTTTAAATATTTGGGTATGTGGTTAGATCAAAAGGGTACATGGAAAGTACATACGGAAAGGGTGGAATCAAAATGTAAGAAAGTTATAAACTTAATGAGAGCATTAGTTGGGAAAGACTGGGGAGCAGATAAACAATCATTGATGTATATTTATAGGGCTCTAATGAGGTCAACAATAGATTACGGATGCTTTGTGTATGGAGCAGCAGCGAAAACACATTTAATGAAAATGGATAGAGTTATTAATAAAGCTTTGAGGATTTGTTCTGGTGCGATGAGATCAACACCAACTAAAGCAATCCAGGTAGAGTTAGGAGAAGTGCCTTCAGACCTGAGAAGAGATAAACTCATGCGTACATACTGGTGTCGCTTACGTGGATGTGGTCATGAAAACCAATAGTGTTACTAAAGAATGCTGGGAGTACAACTCTTTTCAAGGTAATGGCTTTGGATGGGTAACAACGGCTAAATCAGAGGAATAGAGATTAGACAGTATCTGTTTTAACACTCCTACTCCTATTAGCAGGGGTCTGGACTCGAGTCACTTGACTCGAGACTTGACTCGGACTCGAGTCCCAAATTTGATGACTTGCGACTCGACTCAACATAATTAAAGAAGACTTGAGACTCGACTTAGACTTTGACAGCAAGGACTCGAGACTTGACTTGGACTTGAGCCCTGTGACTCGGAAAGACTTTATGATCAGATCAAATCCCTAAATTTAACTTGAGTAGTTTTACTAAGGGCACCCATCTCACATGAAATTGAACTATGTCAAATATTCTACCTGCCTTCCTGATATAAATTACTATGAATTTGATATGGTAATTCATACTGAGACACTTATTTGGGCAAAAAGCACTAATGACTTGTTTAAGACTTGAATCTTAAAGCTGAGGACTTGCAACTCGACTTGGACTTGCCTGTCTTGACTCGGGACTTCACTTGGGACTTGCAGAACAATGACTTGGTCCCACCTCTGCCTATTAGTAATATCCCTATTTGGTTGTTTCCAAAAACGGAGGTAGATTTAAATATAATGGAACTAAAGGATAAATGGGAAGAGAGTGAGAAAGGACACATGGCAAGTCAATACATAAAAAGCTAATTTTACAGTTATTTAGATATTTATACAGATGGATCCAAAGATGAAGAAAATAGGGTAGGCGTAGGAATATACGTACCAACATTGAACGTAAGTATTGGGACAAGATGAGCTGATCAGTTGTCAGTTTATCCGGCAGAGATGATGGGGATTATTGTAGGCTTGCAGTGGTGGAGGAGGTAAAACCTGATCGAACGGTATGTTGTGTTGACTCTGTAGCAGCCCTTTACAGTACTCAAAACATGACATCTAATAGAGAAGATTTAATGCTAGAAATCCATCAAAAGTTATTTAGATTGCAGAGGCTTCATAATGTAAAGTGCATTCATTGAGATATAAGCCATGCTGCATACTCCGGTACAGTAGGTGGCGGTATGCACCTGATAACTCATGGTTGCAATCCGCCATAAAACTAGAGAGGACTTTTATTCTGCTCCGGCGGCGTGACGTCACAGGGCTGCGCCGCGCTCCCGCATCTGTTGTGATTCGCCTCAAGAAAGGTCTGTGTTTTTAAGCATTTAAACTGCTTAAGCTAAAAGAAACAATCTAACCCTATAGTTTCTAAGCGATGCAAGATTAATTATTTGCTATTTAATGTAACATTGTAATGCTTTATCTAACATTAATAGACGTTATTTGGTGTGAGTAAACGCATCCGCACATGAGTAACAGAAAGGTGCGTCTCATTTCGCTGCCTGTGTCGTGAAGCAGTTTATCATAAACACGAATTAGGTCACTTCAAAGTAGTGACGGAGAAACGGAGCTTTTTGAGACTCGATTGAATCGGTTTCTTTTCAAATGATTCAGTGATTCGAATCTCCGCTCGCTGAGTCACCTGCTGGTCAAATTCAAATGATTCAGTGATTCGAATCTCCGCTCGCTGAGTCACCTGCTGGTCAAACTGTGAATGCAGCGAGAACAACACACACAGACGACTGTTACAAACCAGCTGAACATGTTCTCATGCAAGTGTCATTTATTGCGTATAATCTACAAATTATCATTTACCATATATACATCACAACTAAATATTAAATGTCCGTATAGTTTGTGCTCTTTTATGAATTTTTAGTGCTAGTTTTGAGTGTTTTTGTCTAATCAGGTGATTTAAAGGGGTCATATGACATTGCTAAAAAACATTATTTTGTGTATTTGGTGTAATGCAGTAAATCACTTTAAGGAGTCAAATGTCACCTCGTATTAGGAAGGCTAATTTTTGATCAGAATTTTTGATTTTTGATCTGAAGGTGCTCCTAAATTTTTAAATTAGAAGGACAAGCGCTCCTGACTGAAATTATACGCTAAAAATGAAACTAAATCCGCCAGCAGGTGGCAGCAAGTCACTGATTTGATCACTGAATCATTCATTCAGTTGATTCGTTCGAACGGCTGAATCATTCAGGAACGAAGCAAGTGACTGTCTTTATGAACTAACGGAAATCCGTTGTAGCGACGGAACACTTTAATCCCTGAATGTGTTTATGCGGTTTAAGGTTAAAAAAACACATTATTTTCCACATACTGTACATTATTGCTTCTCCGCTATGCCCCGCCTTCTGAAACGCGTCGATTTTTACAAAGCTCATCGTTCTGAAAAGCGAGGTGTGCTGTGATTGGCCAGCTATCCAGTGCGTTGTGATTGGCCGAATACCTCAAGCGTGAGACGGAAATGTTACGCCCCTCACCATATTTAGAAACACACAGCGACTCCACGACAACAATACTACAGCGAGAATAAAAGTTACGCCTTCTTTCTTTGCGTGAACATTTGGGCGGTGTTATGCTCATTTAAACATAGTGACGTGTTTGAATGAGGCGTTATAATAAGCAATAATAAAATGACGCATTTAACTTATAATTTGTCTTAAATCTCATTTTGTTAAAACAATCGTGAATCTAATTGAATCATGAGTTGAGTGAATCATTACATCTCTACTCCAAAGACAAAGAAAAGCATGCAATCGCGTCATATGACCCCTTTAACTAACACTCTGAATTCTCCCTTACTAGTGTGCTGACTACTGAAATAGGGAGCTGATCCTCTTACCCTGATTATTCTCTTATACTTATTTATCTTGTATATCTCTTATTTGTCTTAAACAGGACAGAATACACAGAAAATCTCCTGCTGAAGCGACTGAGGTCCTCGTGACTCACTGTTATAAAGATGGCGTTTATTAAAGAGGAGAGTGAAGACTTCAGGATTGAAGAAGTATTCAGTCTGAAACAAGTTACTGAGGAACAAACAGGTTGGTTTTCATTCTCAGATCTGAACTCACTCATTTGATCCAGCTCTACAGAAATGAATGATATTTCTGAAGAATGTGAAATGAGTGTCCTAATTAATTAAAGTGGTTTTATTTGACACGGAGCCTCCTGTGGACACACATGTTGAGATCACATGACCAGACAAACACTAAGTGCACCTGAGAAGATCCCACTTCAGTGTTGGACATTTGTTATTTTGACGTCACCCAATAAATCAGGAGAAATAACAGAATTCAGAGAAGTAACAGAAGTAGCCTAAACAAAACCAGTAGTTTGTGTAACATTAAACCCAATATCTACTTAATTGAAATGAACGAAAACCATTAATTTCTATTACTTAATTATGAAACAGTATCTAACAAAACATTTATTTTGCTCAAAGCAAACCATGTGATCAATGTTTTTTTGTTTTTTCATCCTCAAAAGTATTCACTGTATTAAACTGGTGTCTTTTAAACACAACTTTGTTTCCATGTGGACTGATGCTGGCTTTAGAAAGCCTGACTAGAAAGTTTGTAGTTTTAAAATAAATACTAAATATCAATTTTGGATTACATTACACAAGTTTTCCCCAACAGCTCAAGCATACCTGTAGGACAATGACCTTGAGTTTTAGGTTGTAATGCCAATCGATCATTGGTCATTGATATAATAATTTTCTAGACACTTAATTATACACTTTAAATCTTTACTTTGAGTTTTACTTGTTCATTGGGAACCTGTCACACAGTGTTCAATTTTAGCTATCAATTTTAACATTTATTAGACTACTTAAAATAACTTCTAATTTGAGTGAAAATTGTAAGTGAACTTAAAACAATCTTCACATAAACCCATTATAATACATGTCATATTTAGTTACCTGTGCCCTTCAGCAAGTAGGAAATGCACAGAAATTGAATAAAGTTATCAAACACTAAATTCTAAATTAAATATAAATAAATCCTTAAAGCTACAAAAATTGATGTCCTCTTTTCTTTTGATCTTTGATTAACAGACATCAGAGCAGCTGGTTATTAGGTTTGGCTGCTATCCCAGAGCTGCCGCAGATCTGACATGTATTTCTTAACCTATTCTGACCCACTTCAGGACTTAAAGTCTCTAGTCTACTAATGAGTTGCATCGGGTGTGTTAGATGAGGGAGACAGTTAGAGCTGCACGATTCTGGATAAATAGAGATCACGATTCTCTCACGATTCCAAACTTAACAGAATATTGTGTAATTTACTAGAGGCTGTGACAACATTAATTGCTGCAATCTATTTAAAAGTGTTATTTTAATTTGCATGAATTATTAAAAATGTAAATATATGATATACATTTAAAATATGTTTAATAAAGCAATTGTTAATATTAAAATTATGAAACATTGGTTTGAATGAACGATTCAATGGCTCACTCATAAATACTTCACTAGTTTCATTACTGAATCAATCAGCGTTTTTGAACAAATCTTTTGAATGAATGATTCAATGACAAATACATTTTTTAACAGTCACTTATTTGAATGTTATGGTAAGACTTTTTCAAAGGTTTAATAGACACTGGTGAATCGTTGTCACTTAGAAATGAGATTGCATGGATGTTTGAATCGAGATTGCGATCTTTTAACGATTAATCGTGCAGCTTTAGAGACAGTGCTGCAGTGCTCCAGGACAGTTTTGAAAACCACTGCATTTAGAGACATGCTCTTAAATGTGACTCATATAGCAAATACATACATGCACAGTTTTAAAGCAGCTTTATTTGCCTTTTTGGTAACTTCTTGACTTAACTGACGACATTGCATGCTCATAGTTTCTTTCGCAATTTGATATGAAATTATACAGTCTACAGCGCGTGCTGGCACATAGGTGCGTGCAATTGAAGAGCACGAGCTACGAGCCCAGTACTGTTTCTGCACTCATTTGACTCGCGTATGGCGCTGAAGTGAAGTTGGAGCGTGTGTCTGAAACGTCTCCCATTTGATGTGGTCGTAAAGACATTCTGCGTTTAAATACACGATGGTTCTTGTGAAACAGAAGCAGCAGTTGTGAGTGGGGTGGCCAACCCAAGCTCCGCCTCTGTGTAAATTGCATTAAATATTTGTAACGCTTTAAACTGAAAAAATTAATTGCCTGCATTAACGTGCTAATTTTGACAGCACTAGTTTATGACTAATACTATGCTTGGCATTTTCTAAATAGTAGTTCCCAATTGTGTCGCTGATGCTTTGGGGGAAATTTCTGTTTACTCTGATACTAAAGCCTGATTTGATAATGTTTTGTAGCAGCACAAACCAATGGTGTTTTGCCTGCCAAAAGGGGAGGAGCCAATGGGTATATAAGCCTGCTAAGAGCGCCATATCATCAGAATCTTCTCCTTCAGCAAAGAGACCATCTCTTTGCTGACTCTGCTATCAAGAAGTCGAAGATGAAGACGGAAGAGGCTCAGCCTGCACCCCTCGTTTACATTGAGCGGCTCAATCCTTCTAGGCAGATCGGAGTAGAATGCTGTCACCAATGATTCTGTATCGCTGACAGCTTCACATTTGTGTGTGCACCACTGAGGCTGCGCTCGCTGAGACAGGCTGCTTTCACTGCGAAAGCTTGAGTCTGTCCCTTCTTCGCTCGCGGATCACTTTCTTCAATGAAGGCGACCCTGTCCCTCCCTCTCTCACTTTTCTCTCCTCCCAGTTACCTCGGAGGAAGAAACGGCAAACTCACGGGTTGAGCGATCAGGCCTGAGTGATTACATGCCGGCACAGGTCCCACGTGCTTTACTCTCACCGCAGCACTTTGATCTGCCAGATAAGCGCCCCTCGTCTGCATTGAGTGGTGGGATCTTTTTATGTGGATCAGAGGAGAATGCTGTCAGCAATGATTCATATTGCTGACAACTTCAGATTTGAGTGCACCGCTCACCTGGGCCACGGCCACGCTGAGGCTGCGCTCACTGAGACAGTCCATTCTCACTTCGAGAGTATGTGTCTCGCTTTGCTTCACTCGCAGTTCGTCTTCTTCAATGAAGGCGGCCCCGCTACCTCGGTTCTCACGTTCTCCTCTCCCAGCTACCTTGGAAGATGAAACGGTGAAGTCGCGGGGCTGAGCAACCATGATTGAGTAATCACATGCCGGCACAGGTCCCACATGCTTCACTCTTCCCGCAGCACTCTGATCTGCCAGTGTGTTTTACACATGAGGATTGGTGCCCCTTGTCTGCAACGAGCAGTTTTATCCTTTTTAGGCAGATCAAAGAGAATGCATGCAGCACTTTGATCTGCCGGTGTGTTTACACATGAGGATCATCAGCACCCCTCATATAATGTGCAGTTTGATCTTTTTAGGCAGATTGAAAGAGAACGCTGTCACTAATGATTATCACTAACAGCTTCAGATTTAGACGTGTCTGGGCCATGTCCACGCTGAGGCTGCACTCGCAGGGTCTGGCTGCTCTCACTGTCTAGCAAAGCATTTTTGAGAGGAAAAGGAAAGGGTCAGTTCTCGCTGAGGCCCAGAAATCCCTCATAGAAAGCTAGTGCTCCCTCTCCTTCTCACTGTTCAATACTGAGCGATGGAATTTCTATTGAAGCTGTTCTATTCAAGCACGTCCTTCGCATTCAGCACGTGACCAAGCAAATGTAGTGCACAGCACATTCCAGGGCCCAGTTTATGGCAGGGCCCCTCTCTGACCACAATAGTGGACAAAGGTTTGCTACATTTTGAATGGAATCCTATTGGTCAAAATGCAGTTTCTGCCCTTCACCCACCAACACACTGATTCCTCAGGTTTTGGCCTGTGATCGCCATAAAAACTCCTTAGGACCCACCAGCAGCAGTGGGTGAAAAACAAAGAGAGATAACAGAGTTCCATCCAAATCCATTCATAACTATGTTCTCAAACCTTAAACTAATGCAAACTACAACACACACATCTCATATGTATTCAGAGAAATAAGTATTCTCAGTGACAGCAATGTGTAGTGCAACATCTTACAAAAACTCAAAAAAACTCACAAGATCTTACAAAAACTCACAAATTAATTGCTTGCATGACAGTTCAATCTTTTTCCATCCTGTTTGGACTCAATTTGTTCATAACATTGCCAAAGGCATTCTGGTTGTTGTTTGGTAAGTGAAAAATGCACCGCTAAAACTTTAGTGACGCTTTTCTAAATTTGTGTTTGGACTATGCAAATAAGTTCCCCAGTAGGAAAAAAGGTTGGGCCACACCGTGTCCTCCCAATCTGATGGAAACAGCCAATCACAGCCTGGAAATGGAGAAGTGCCAGATTGCAATCTCCTCCTCATCGGAAAGGGATAAAGGTACCTTCCCAGAAGACACTCCTTGTACTGAGTCTGAGTCCCGTGAGGGAAGAGACACTAACAGCTACACTAGTTCTGAGTCTCCGGCCTGCATGGTAGAACAGATCATCCAGGTTCTGAGTTTTGAGTCCCGAAAGGTAAGGGATACTAACAGATCAACATGTTCTGAGTCTGAGCCCCTCAAGGGTGAGACAATAGCAGATACACTCATTCTGAGTCTCCCATCTCGAGAGACAGAAACATCAATGTTCTGAGCCTGTGGCCCATGCGGGAAGAGGCAATAACAGATACCAAGTCCTGAGTCTCCAGCTTGTGAGGCAGCAACAGATACGACCATGTTCTGAGCCTCAAGGAGAGAGATATTCTACGTTCAAAGTCTTCGTCCAGCAAGACATCAACAGATGCAGCACGTCCTGAGTCTCCATTCTAGAGAGACAAAATGGATTGACCAAGTTCTGAGTCTCTAGCCCAAAGAGGCAGAAGACACAGACATTTGCAACAAGGTTAAGCTCCGGCGAGCAAACCTTTACCTCAAGGTACTTTTGCTTGCGTGTTCCAGGCAAGGACCTTCTGCACCTACGAGTTACCTTTCTGGGGATGATAATAGACTCCGCTCATATGCGAGCTTGGGTTAAGACGGAATGCTCCCTGAGTATTCAGTGATTGGTGGCATCATC